CATTCCTTTAGAAGCAGTAGACGCACCAGGGACATCCCCGTGGTCCCGCATCCTTCAAAGTCTGACTTGGCTCTCAGTTAAGCTCAACCCTTTTTTTACTACAGCACCTCAAACTATTCAGTGTTCAAGAGAGACTTCACTGAAATAAGACCCTCTGTTTGAAAGGTTGGTTTTCTCCAGAACCCAACAAAATTGCAGGGCTGCACGCGAGGCCTTGGCTTCGTGCAATCCGTGTCAGCCGTGTGTGTCACGGAGCCGCGCTGGCAACAGGCAGAGGCAACAGTTAAAATATATATAGATATAACTCCTGGAGCCTGGGAAGTGTGGTCTGGGGTTTCAGCAGGCAATTGCTGGTTTGCCTAACGACTCAGGCCACAGCTGAGGTTTAGATGGGTTAAACACTGAGTCAAGTTTTGCTCTGGTTGATACGGAGCTTGGGCTGACATTCCACTCTGGGAGCATTAAGCCACCTCCTTTCCCGTCCCCCTCAGCTCAGAGGGGATGGAGAGCTTGTCTTCATTTTGCTCGTGCCCTGATGCTTCCTTGTGTTTTTACCTCCAGTGTCACGGATCTGCTCAGACAGCCCCAGTTTTGGGGTTCCCTGCAGGGCCATGCTGGAGCTTTTGCACAATATTTGAATTCATATTAAATTACTTGTCTGGAGGAGGGATGAGGCTGTCGATAATTAATCTATATTTGGAGCTATTCAAAGGCTGTTAATGGTATTTTGCACGACCACTGCCTTCTGTGAGCGCCCACCTGGTTCCTGCACCCCTGGTTCCTGCCAGGGTCACGCTGGTGGCCATGCATCCCACTGGGCAGTACTTTCCTGCTCTGATGCCCTCACCTCCTGCCATTCCCAATGGGAAAGTGGCTCACTTAAGTGCAAAACCCCTCTTGTTGGTATAAATGTCACATTACGTGGTGGGTGTCCACCACGGGCACTTCATGGTGGTCTCCATGCTCACCCCAGCTTTTCCCAGGGAAGCTTAGCTGGCTGGTGCGACCCGTAGCTGAAATGCCAGGGCTGCCAAGCCCCAGGGAGGACTCGGCCGCTGTTCCCAGGCTTCAGCTCCCGCAGGATTTCCTATCTGGGCAGAGCCAGGGTCAGCAGGGAGGGGTCCGTCCAGGCACCCCGCAGCCCCCAGCCCTCGCCCTGCTGCAGGAAACTCTGCCGGGTGCACGGGGTGGGGTGGGGAAAGGAGGGGAGAGGAGGAAAATGGGGAGTCATAGGGGGAGCTGCCAGATAAGGCTGGCTGGAAACGTCGGGCGGATGCAGCTCCGGGCCGGGGCTCGGACCTGCGCCCCGGTCACTTCCCTCGTGCCGCCCAGCCAGAGCCGTCACAGGAGCCCAGGGATGAAATTACAGCCAGGGAGATCCAGCACCTGAGCTGGCTCAGGCAGCACGTGGCCAACAGGCAGCGGAAAATCCCTCCCGGAGCCAGCCTCTGCTGGGAAGATGTTTCCTCTTCTCGACTAGGCAGGACAAAACCCATCATTGCCTAGGGCCATGGCTGGGGGTGTCGGCCCAGAGGGGTGTGGGGTTCCAGTCTGGATGAGCCCTGGAGCCTGTCCCAGCCAGAGCTGTGCTGGTGGGGCCAGCACCCACACCCAGGCTCAGGGATGCTCCCAAGCAGAGACAGAACCATCACTGGCCCTGAAGCCCAGGAGAGCCCCTGCTTTCTGGGAAGTAGCACAGGGATGTGGGCAAAGAAGACAGATACCTTCTTTGGTTTTTTCCCCCCTGAATTTATTACTTCCAACCCCCTCCAGAAATGTCTGTGCTCTCTTTTCAGCTCTTTCCTAAACCCAACCCACTCGTTTTTACTATCCCTCTGGGAGTTTGTTCCCTGTAATACATTATCTGCTCCTGCATTGTCACACCAAACCCTGAGCTCCAAATCCTGCTGGATCCAGCACTGTTGTGCTTCCCTTCTGCCTTGCTCAGATCCCACTCTGTCCTTGCTTTTCCCAGAGGAGCCAGCGCTGGAGCTGCTGATGTAACCTCCCCCAGCACCTGCAGCCACATCCTTGCACCATACTCCTGCATCTCCAACCTCCAAGGCTTTTTTTGGGTAAGGGGAGCAGAGCTGTCCCCCAGACATGGGCTCCTGGCCCCCACAGCATCATGCAACCCCCCAGGTAGGGTGAAAACACTGTGGCCCTGAGCACCCCTGACATCCCACAGGCAGGGCTGGGAACTGAGGAGAGTTGAGGGGAGCTGGGGGGTCCTCCCTGTGCCAGATCAGAACCCCAAACCCCAACCCTGCTGTTTTCCCTGCCCAGGCTTGGCGCAACAAGCAGCAGAACAGTGTGGGTTTGATTTAATCTTCAGGGAGATCTTCACACCTTCCTTTGCTCTTTTTCTCGCCAGCCCCTCCGCCTTCCAGTGCGGCACCTTGGCGGGGGCAGTGCCCATCTGCTGGCAATTGCTGGGTCTTTTAAATGTTTTCCCTCCCTCTCTCTTCCTACTCCATCCTCTGCTCCTCCTCTGCTCACCCTTTGCTTTGTCCCTGCATTTATTGCTGGTGCAGCATGGGCACAGCTTAGCGGGATGAGGGAGGATGGAGAGATGCTGTGCCCGGTGCCGGTTGGGAATTGATCCTCCCAGCCTCCAGCGAGGACAGTTACACAAGGCAGAGCAGCTCCCAGCCTTGCACACGTGTGTGCAATCCCTGCTGTGCTACCTGGGGGTGGAGGTGTCTCTCCTAAGGACAGGGATGGGGCAGCAGAGGCTGCGGGGTTAGCGGGGGTACAGCGCCTGCATCCGTGCAGATGCAGCGTGTTTATTCTCACCAGATAGTTTGATGGCTTTATCTGATCACAGGTTTTCCTGAGGAAGGAAGGGTGAGTCTGAGTCACTTGAAAATGGGGGCCCTTCATCTCTGGGTATGACTGGTGGGGCTGTGGATATCAGCAGAGCCCCGGGGCGAGACGCGCTCCCAGCGCTGGTGTCATTCCAGCTTCTTTCCGCTGTGCTGGGTGGGCAATGCCATGGTCAGCAATGGATGTGAATCCAGCGTGAGCACCCATGAGTGGGGAGATGATGCGGTGTGGTGTTGGAGGAAGCAACCAGGACCCGATGCCATGGAGGGAAGAGAGAGATCATTTACTGTGTCTATGCTGTGCGAGGAGGGAGCTGCTGACATGGTGCCCCCGGTGCAGAAAACACCGCCACAAGCAAATTGAAAGCTAGAGATAAAATCTGGCAGCAATTGATAAATTCAAGAGACAGACAGGTTCATGCCCTCCTAGAAGAAAACCCAGATAATTAAACTCCCTTGTTCTGCTAATGCCTTCTGTGAGGGGCTGGGGAAACCAGCTGTGGGAGAGCCGTGGCTGCTGCTCCTGGAGAGCTGGGAGGCAGAGGAGTGATGGGGGGCACTATCCAGAGGGAAGGGCAGCGAGTGGAAACAGCTCTGGCTCCTTGAAACCAGGGAGCTGGGCTGGGGGCTGCAGCAAACTGGAGCTGTCCTCTGCTGCTTGACCCACCCACACACCAGCATCCTTCCCGGCTCTCTCTGTGCCTGAGAAAACAAATGGATTTTCCATAAAGTACCCTCAGAGCACTCGCACTCGGTGTTTTGTGGAAACCAAGGGGTTTCAAGCCTTCCTGAGCCCAGCTAGGCTCTGGAGAGTGGAGTGGAGCAGGCGACACTGAGCTGCTGAATGCACACAGAGCCAGGCCCCTGGGGTCCAGAATTAATAGGACAGAGCAGGGGCTGTTCCCTGCATGTTTTATTTATGGGAATCAGGCCAGTGAAGTTCCCTCAGCTCACCGAAATAGTCACATCGCCTCTGCTTTGCGCTGCCCACGGCCGTGACCTTGATAAATGGGTCACTGCCCGGCCCCCCCGTGCACCCGGGAGGAGGTTTTGCCCCACAGTTGGCTGGTTGGGCTCCCTCCCCAGACCCCAAAACTCAGCCTTAACCTGTCCAATGGTGCTCCTGCCACAGGCAGCCTGCCTGTGCTGCCTGGAGTGCTGGCTCTGCCCACAGCAGGAGCAAGCCGTGAGAAAGGACCCACGGGAACTCCACCAAAAATCCCCCAAACACTGACGGAGCTCCGGGCATCCCCCACTCCCCGTTTCCGAGAACGGCGCACATCAGGAGTCGTGTCCCCAGCACCAAGGTGACATTGGCCTCTCACCAAACTAAAGCCCCTGGGCAGTGGCTGATGGTGGAGATGGAGACCCCAAAACAGGAAGCAGAAGTGGGCCTCCACTTGGTTTCTGTATTTTTTTCTTAACCTCCATTTTTCAGCTGTCTCTTGATGCTGGGTCACAGGTGTGGCCTCACCACCACCCCCAGGGCCACCAGAGCATCTCTGGAGTGGTACCCAGGGGAGAGGGATGCTGATCCCAGGGTCAGATCGCTCTGGTGTGATTGCCAAAGGGCATTATGGATGTCTGTGTTTGGTAACCATGGAGCAAGGTGGCTTTCCCAGGGCTGCCACTGAGTCAGTGGCGGAGCTGGGAGCAGTTCGGTTCCTCTCCCCACCCTCCAGCCCCAGCACAGCATCTCCCTCCCCACTTCCTTCCCTTGCTGATAATTAGCTGGGTTTTTTCTCCTGCAGCCGTCGGCTTTGCGGTTCCCAGTGATTTCTCCCAGCGTGGCATTTCCCCAGCTGGGTGCTGGGAGGGAGTCGTGAGCCCCACACCCACGCCAGCTCCCACCACGGGAAATGACCACGGGTGGCCCCAGGAGTGGGGAACTGGGGAGGCGTTTCCCGAAAATCTCATGGCCAGGAGCAGTCCAGGCCAAGGGACAGCAGTGCCCTTTGCAGGCAGGAAATCCTCCCCGGTGTTTCAAAGCCCGGGGGGTCCGTGGAGCATCTCAGCAGCTCCGAGCTCAGCCCAGGGCAGTGATGGTGGGTGCAGGCGGAGGACCCACAGTGCATCCTGCTCTGGTGGGGACCAGCAGCTGGAGGAGGCTGCACACCCCCCACCGTTTGCTCTAAAAGAAGCTGCCAGTCCCCAGGGGTGTGTGGGGACGGGGCCATGCGGGGCCTGTCAAGGACCTTTGTGGGGTTGCTGCCAGCCAAGGCCGACAAAAGGCTCCAGCCGCCCTTCCTGCTGCTTCCAAACCCACGGCCCCACCCTGACCCCGACCTCGGCTGCTCCAGGTCCTTCATGGCTCAGGGTCCTGTGTGGTGCCAGGACCGTGGGGCTTGGCTTGCTGGGGTGGCTGAGGCTGGAGCAGGGTGGCAGGATGCCATCAGCAATGACATTTTGTTAGTGGCCAACTCAGGCCACTTCCCCTGCCTCCAATGTGGGGGTTTGCCATACAAACCCTTCTCCATCCCAAGGAGAGGTTTGCTGTCCTACTGCATACAAAAGGTTTTGCTCTTGGAAGGGCACAGAGCTGGAAGCACTGCAGAGATGTGTGTCCACACAGAAGGGATTTCTCCTCTGCTCATCCTTCCCTGCTGCCTCCCCAGAGAGGTTTTACCCAGAGGTCCGTGTCCTCCGGCAGCATCTCAGGGGCTGGCAGTGAAATCAATAATAAAAATGATGCTCAGCTCCTGTACAGAGCATTACGTCTTCAAAGCCCTTTGCTGGCATAAACTCATTAACGGCGAGGAATCGAATTCCTCATCACACAAGTCCCAGGGATGCAGATCTGGGGGGCGATGGACCGGAACATATTTGTAATAAGAAATCGCTGCTATCAGTGGCCCTGTGCAGGAGGGCCCTGAGGAGCTGGCAGGAGCAGATGGAGAAGGGAGGGCTGAGGTGGAAATGGTGCCCAGGGTGGGCTGGCAGCATCCTGGCAGCGGAGATGCTTCCCCTCCTTGCGGCAGCCAGTGGTCCAGGATCAGGGAGCCGGTCTCCCGTGCTCCCCATGGCCCCCCTGGGGCTCCCAATGCAGAGGAAATGAGTCTGGCACCATCTCTGCATCTCCGCTTCCCTTTGGAGCATCCCACCCCTGCTGAGCCCCTTCATGCCATTCCCACTGGACCATCCCAGGCTGCTCCAGCCTGGACTGCCTACCCTGAAAGATTTGTTTAACACAAGTCAGGGAGAATGGAAAATTGGGGGTGTTCATCCTGAATGGACTGGGGCCAGGGGTGGAGTGGGCAGTGGGCCACGAGCAAGGGGGTTGGGGAGGTGAGTGGGGGGCTGCAATCCCCATCTGTGCTGAATGGCTCAGTGCTGCTGTACTGGCCCAGGGCACAGTGGGGACTAGAGAGATGGTCCTGACCCCCCAGGATTTATCCCAGCTGGCTCCCAGCCTGGCCAATCTCATCCCAGCATGTCCCAGCTAGGACAGCACCTTTGGGTCCCTCACCCCATCCGTCTTCTCCTCAGGATGGGACTCCCAGTGACTCCTGGCACCCACCACACTGCCTGCTCGGCCCATCCTGCCCAGGCAGGGGGTGCTCGGGTGGGACTTCATCCAGGGTGTCCCAGGGGACTTGGGGCGCACTCCCACCCACGGCCATGGCTTCATGCCCAGGGTTGGGTGGGGAACCACAGATCCTATTTCTGGTTTTCTGCCTGGGAGGTGCTCCAGGAGGGAGGACAGGAACACCCTGACCTGGTCCCCGAGGTCCTCGAGGTCTTGTGTCTGGAATAGGTTGAACACACCCGTGCCCAGGGGACGGCTGTGCTGGGAATGGGGAAGGGAGGGATGTTCTGCACCTCTTCACTTGCCCATCCCTCCTCCCTGCGGTCGGTACCCTCCCTGTCCCCATCCCTGTGCCGGTGCCTGGCTGAAGGAACCAAGGCCCTGCAGCACTGGGAGGCTCCTTGGTGCGGGGGCATGGAGGGATGCAGGGGCACAGAGGGATGCGGGGGCATGGAGGGATGCGGAGGCCGAGCTCATCCAGGGTTACCTTGGAAACAGCGCCCGAGCCACACATCCCTGTCACCACTGAGGGACTGAGCCACCGCAGTGGTGAGGCCAAACCCCACTCACCAGCTCGGGATGACGGCAGGGATTTCAGGAATTGCACTCCCCATCCCACTCGACAGCCAGTGCCAGACAGGGGGAGAGGTGGCTGCAAAGGGGGCTGCACCCTCCCCCAGGCAGGGGAAAATGCAGGGAGAAAAGCCCCCACAAGGGTATCTGGTGGCCAATGTCCCTCCTGGCAGCTGGATCCCTCCCCAGCAGCCGGATCCCACCATGGCAGGTGGATCTGTCCCTGGCAGCCGGATCCCTCCTGCAGGACAGGCTCTCCCCACAAAGATGGAGCTTTAAATAAATAACGAGTTACGGACATCTCCTGGCTCTGCTGGCAGCACCACGCTGGGAGCACTCCCTGGCAGCCACCACACTCCAGAACATAACAGGAATGAGGACAGTGCTGCTGGAAGCTCGGCCTGGGGTGGGGTTGGTGCAGAGGATCTAGGGAAAGGGGCTGGGGGTGTCCTGGGGTGTCCCTGGCAGGGTCAGCACTGGCTGATGGCTCTCCCAAACCTCTCCTCAAAGCCTCCTGTGATGGATCATCACAGTCTTGCAGTGGGAATGCGATTTAACAACTGAGAGTTGGCTGAGGGAGAGGCCCTTGGTGCTTCCCGGGGTGCTGGGATGGATGATGTGGGGATGCAGGCAGGATGCAGTGATGCACCAGTCAGGGTGTAGGAATGCGGGCAGGGCAAGACAGGGCAAGGGGATGTGACCCATCAGTTTTTCCTTGGTGGAAGATGCTTCCTTGCAAACTGGTTTGCAGGGTGGAGCGTTCCAGAAGGCACTGCCAGCTGGGGGAGGCAGGCCAGGCACAGGCAGAGCCCGCAGGCAGGGTTCAGGCAGAGGCCAGGCAGTGCAGGCAGCGCGGGGAGGGAGCGGCCAATGAGCCAGGGAGCCTGGCAGGGCAGCGCAGGCTGCAATTAGCTGAGGAGCGACAGCAGATCCTGCCTTAATTAGAGCCTCCATGCCCCACCAGTGGGCAGGGAACTGTGCCCATGGCAGCACGTCCTGGCACCCCACACTGCCCACACCCAGCACCCAGCACTCGGCATCGCCCACCGGGCCCCGTTCAGGGTACTGAGGGGACACTGGGGATGTGAGTGGGCAGGGGGTGGCGTGGCTGGGGAGGGGCTGCCAGGGGGCAGCGGGGCCGGACTCTGCTCTGAAAGCAGCTGAGAGGAAGGAAGAAGCAGCTAAAATAAGCAGGTGGGTGGACAGGGAGGAAATGATAGTGAGGCTGATAACGAATGGGCTGGGGAAGGGGGACAAGAAGCAAAAGGTCCCCAGGAAACGGGAACTGGTCCCTTGGGTAGCAGAGGGAGGTCATGACGGGCAGCAGCACAGAGGAGGCATCCTGGGGGAGGAGGAATTGAGGGAAACTGGGGGAACTGGTGGGTCTGTGCTCCAGGGTGGTGTGTGTGGGCAGGGAATGGGCAGGATCCTTCAGCAGCATTGGGAGTGCCAGTCAGGAGTGGGGTCAGTCCTGTCCTCCCATCCTGCTTTAGGCAGGAGGACAGCATCCTGGGCGTTGCAGCATTCCAGGGCTCCTGCAGCATCCCAGGCACTCTTACAACATCCCAGGGCTCTCACAGCATCCTAGGGCTCCCATGGCATCCTGGGGGATCCCACAGCATCCCACCTCCCCCTTTGTAATGCAGGTGGGGAGGATGGTGCTGTGGAGGGTGTGGGGACATGGGGTTGGGGTCAGGGCAAACCCAGGGGCTTGGGCAGAGGGGTCAGGGTGCTGTGGGCAGTCTGGGGGAGGCTGTAGCCCTGCTGTATAATCATGGAATGCTTTGGGTTTGACAGTAAAGTCACCTCATTCCAAATCCCTGCCATGGGCAGAGACACCTTCCACTAGACCAGGTTGCTCCAAGTCCTGTCCGACCTTGGCCATGGGGAGCAGGCAGAGGCAGTTGGCCGGAGCTGTGGCTGCTGTCCTGGGAGTTTCCACATGAACCACACACTGTTCGCATCTGAGCCTTCTCCCCGTCCAGGGCAGCCGCTGCCGGGGGTTATTTCCTGCCCTCCGCGCTCTCCCCCCGCCGCCCCAGCCTGCCCCAGCCCGCCCCAGCCCGGCTGCTTCCTCTCGGCCGCCCCGGGGGCTTTCCATGCTGCCAGAAAATAAATCTCAGGCTATTTTTAACAGAGGGGAAAACGCCAAGGTCTCCTCCAGCCTGGGCTGCCACGGCGCTGAGCGCGGACGGGCACCCCCGGAGAGATGAAGGAGGGAGAGGAATGTGCGGGAAGGATGTGGGCAGGCAGGGCAGCATGACCCCGCTTTCATCTCCATGCCTTCAGGCTGGATTTTGGGGAAGGCAGAGAGGAGGGCGCTGGGAAGGGGGCACTGGCTGGGTGCTGTGGGACCCCTTTCCCCCCTTTGAAGCAGAGAGCAGCCCCCACCATGCCCCCCCCAGACCAGCACCCATAAATATCACCCATCACCCATGAAGGGAGGGAGAGGGTGATGGGGGGAGTTACCCCACATGTACTTCCACTGTCCCATCTGAGAGGGATGGGGTGACCAGGAGCAACTGGAATGCAGTGGGACACACACCCACGCGGGGGGATGGCCACAGTGCCCACCCTGCTTCAGGTCAGTGCCAGCACCCCGTGGGAGCTGGGGACTCAGAGGGTCCCCTGGGGTCAGGGCTGGGACAGTTGCTGTTTTTAACCCCTATAAGTGCCTTAGGGAGGCTGCGAGCGGGATCAGCTGGATAATGCTGGCGGGGGCAGAGGGGGGCTGTGGAACGGATAGAACTGATGATAACGGGGGGCACGGAGAGGTCCCCCCACCCTGCTGTGCCCCGAGGGCAGCTGTCCCCGCTACAGACTGGGACACTGCCATTCCCTGCCAGCTGTCCCCACTGTCACTCCACACACATCTTTCTGGCTGCAGCGACATGATCCAGGTGACTCGCCCTCTCCTGGGACTCCAGGAGCTGAGGATTTATTCCTTGCACAGCTTCTGCTAAAATCTCTCCACCTGCGGGACTCTCACCAGCCCCTGCACCCCCCACCCTCCCACTGGAGTGGGAGGAATTCTCCGCTCTCCTTCTCCCACCGGGAGATGTGCAAAGACCACAGCCAGCGGAAATGCGGGAAGAAAAGCAGGGAGAGAAAGAGGAGCCGTTTCCAAGCACTGGGTGGGAGGAGAGCAGAAAACAGGAGGCGGAGGTGAAAATGTCAAGCCAGCCTCCACTGCTCCCCACAGGACTGGCTGTGTGGGGACACGGTGCTCACCGCTGGCT